TTTTCCTTGAAAAAATTGACCTCATTTCCCCATTGTACTTTACAATTTTGTTTCTTTTACCTTTAGTTGATTTCCATAGCACTGAAATGGTTGGTCTGAAGATTTTTTCTGCTATTTTTTTTTCCTCCTTGGGGACCAGATTTGCCAACCTCCTCAATCTGTCATGCCAGAAGCAGCCTTATCCTTTGTTGCTATTTTATGTGGATAAAAATTGTTTTTACTTACATTTTGCTGTCTTATATCATAGACCTTCTTTCTAGGGTTTTTTTTCTTTCTTCATGAAATGCACCCTTTAGAAGATCCTTTAGTAAAAGTCCTTTAGCATTTATTTATCTAAAGATGTCTTGTTTCAACCTTACTCTTGAAGAATACCTTTGCTACATATACTATTCTAGGATGACAGTTACTTTCTTTTAGGCCTTTGAAAATATTTCACTGTCTATGGCTTCTATTGTTGCTATTAAATAATAAAATATGTCTAGTGATGATAGAGTATTCATGTGCCATCTTTGCATGGTGAGCACTTATATGTATCACTTCATTTAACCCTGATAACAAATGTATTACAATATACCATTATTATTCTCATTCCTCCTAATGGAGGAATAAAGACACAGACCAGTTAAGGATACAAAATAAGTAAGGAGGGCAGGATTTCACCCCAGGAGCTCTGACTCTAGAACCTAGGTTTTTAAACAACCACCATATACAAGCAAATACTTAAAGAGAATGAGATAATAATATTGTAATAACTCTATATGGTGCCAAGTGGGTACTTGAAATATTGGGGGAACTACTTTGCAAAGTATATGATTGCCTAACCACTATGCTATACACCTCAAAGTGATACAAAATATTTAAAAAATATATAAAAAATAGGATGAAAGATAAATAACATTATTAAATTATAAAGTTATTTAAAAACTTTAGTAATTACAACAGAGAGACTTTTTTTCTGGGTAGAAAGATTAGTAGAATAATCATCACTGTTAGACTATCATTACCCCACAGGGTCAACATGCTCTGCCTGTTGCTCATCTACAAGGTGAGAATAATTGTAATACCTGCCTCATAGGTGGTTGTGAAGGATAAGTCACCACACACACACACACACACACACACACACACACAAGTGAAAAAGTATTTGTTGTTATTAGCACAGAAACTAACCTGACTATACATCAGAATATAGTATCTGATTACAGGTGATGAAAGAAAGGATGGACTATTAAATAAATGGTAGTTGTGTGAATTATATGCGAAACAGAAATTTTGATCTATCTTTCTGAAAAATCTACATCCAAATAGTAAAAAATAATACCAGCTATAGAGCTTCTAAATTCGTGATATCATTAGAACAAAATTTTGATTAATAGTTAAAATGATTAATGCATGTAGAGAACGCTGTAATAAGCATACCATCAAAGGTATAAATTATAAATAAAAAGATGGAAAGACCTGATCACATTTAAAATTTCATGGTGGAGGAATTGAGCAAAAAAGAGAGAAAGAGAGCGGGAACTCATGGACATGGACAACAGTGTGGTGATGGTTTGTGGAGGAAGGAGAGGGGTTAAAGTAGAAGAGGCATAGAGGGGATAAATGGTGTTGGGAAAATATTTTAATTTCTTTTGTAAAAACAAACACTGTAAATGATTAATGGCACAATATACTACAGTAGGGAAATCTTCTGTAACATATATAACTGAAAGTTAATAATCTTAATTTGTAAAGAGCTCTTATGAAATAATAAAGAAAAGGACTATAAAATAGAAAAATTAACCAAATAACATACAATCTTCCAGAAAGAATTATAAATAGGCATGGGAAAAAATGCTGTTTCACCAGTAATAAAAAATACACAAAAAAATCAGATACCAATTTTCACTTGTGAATTTAATGTGATTTAAAAAGATAGTTCATCAAGGACAAATATAATAATACATTAATAGCCACAATGCGAGGAAATAATTACAAAGTATTTTGTTGGATCCGAAGAAAGTGACCTCATCTGCATCGTGATAGCAAGATGTGGTGGTTTGAGATGGTCTTTGAAGTATAGGCATAATATAGACAAGAAGTGAGAGGTTTGGCGATGGGGTGGAGGAAGAACAATAAATAACCATAGTTTTGGTTTTGTCATGACTAAGGAATGAGGTTTTAAAAACAGTCCTGAGAATTCTTGAAGACAGGAAGGGACCAGTGGAGAAGGAGAAATGGAAGCTGTTAGTAGAGAGATGTAAAGTTGAAGCAATAGGTCCATAGAAAGATTCGAAACAGGAAGTACAAGTACTTCAGAAGTAGATGGAAAAAAACAAGTAAAAGTATAAAGCTTTTTAAATGGAGAGGAAAGATAAGAAAGCTAAAATTGTTCTCTCTGGATAGCATTAATCTTAGTGAGGGAGTGACTGGTAAGAGATTGAGTGCTTGTGGGACTAGGAGAATAAAAAAAGGTTTGTAAAAGCTGCTTTGGGATAATGGAGTGGACCAATAGGCAATGAAAACAAATATTGCAGGTTAAGGTCCTGGCTGAGACTCCATAGCATGGAATTATGTGCTGTCTAAGTGGAGTGAGGGGTTTATTCAGAATGAGGGAAAATGAGGGGAAACTGTCTTTGGTATACAGAGGTGAAGCAAGATGCAATGAATTAGGAGGAAAGGAAGGACCAGAATGAGGATATTATGTGCTGAAGGAAGAGTGGAAGAGATGGAAGACAGGACTAGGGACAGAGAGAAGAGTATTTTAGAATTTAAGATCTTGGCAATAGAACTTTTAGACCATTTGCTTCTTCCTCTTAATTCATATTTTATTAGCTGATCTTTGCTCATATGGGCATGTTCTAATTATTTTTATTTGGATAAAAAATTTTTACCATAAAAGTATTGTTATTTTTTAATTATATAAGTTTCAGATGTACAACATTGTAATTTGACATCTGTATGTATTACAAAGTGATCACCTCCAAAAGTCTAGTGACCATCCATCACAGTGTACTTGCCACCCTTCACCCCTTTCACCCACATCCCAACCCCCTTCCCCTCGGGTAACCACCTGTCCTCTTTACCTATGAGTTTGTTTTTGTTTATTTTTTAAGACTCCACATATGAGTGAAATCATATGGTATTTGTCTTTCTCTTTCTGACTTAGCATTATATCCTTGAGGTGCATCCATGTTGTCACAAATAGCGAGATTTTATTCTGTTGAATTCTGTTATATCCCACTATATTTATATCACATCATCTTTATCCATTCCTTCATTGATGAGTACTTAGGTTGTCTAATTTCCATATCTTGTCTATTGTAAATAATGCTGCAATGAATATAGATGGTATATATCTTTTTAATTAGAGTTTTTATATTCTTCAGATAAATATTCAGAAGTGGAATAACTGAATCATATGGTTGTTCTGTTCTTATATTTTTGAGGAGTCATACCATTTTTCTTAGTGGCTACATAAATTTACAATCCCACCAGCACAAGGCTTCTCTTTTCTCCACGTTTTCTGCAGAACTTGCTGTTTTTTGTCTTTTTGATGATAGCCATTCCTACAGGTGTGAATGAAATCTCATTGTGGTTTTGGTTTGCCTTTCCCTAATAATAATTAGTGATGTTGAACATGTTTGTTTTCAATTGCCATTTCTTTTGAAGACCTAATGAATGGTTGTAATATAGTTACAAAATGATAGTATATATTTGTTTAACAGTTAACTGGTGGCTGCTTTAGAGACCACTGCTAAGTGAATTGATAAGTGACTTTGAGACACTGATCTACAAAGCTTATGTTTGTAGCATCAAAGACACTGTATCATTATGCATTCTATCTTCAAGTAAGGGTTATAGCACATTAAAATTAGACAGTTTATATTTCCTTTCTGAATTTCTCCAGATGTTCACTTCTCATGAATACTCAAAAAGAACTTTAATACAAAAATGAAAACAAAGTTGAAATTATGTAGGATCATACGAATGAAGGATCGTACAAATAAAGGGTCAGACAAGTCAGTTAATTTCAGAAATAAAAATCCATCCTGTATACTTCAAAGCTCAAAACCTTTCAGTGTTTGGCCATGAATAGAGAGTAAAAAGCAGAATCCTAGGCTAGAATGTTAAGGTTTCCAACATAAAATTCTGACCTTATCTTTCACTACACCCTATGTGTATCACCACATTATAGCCAAATAAGGCTTGACATCTTTGGAACAATTTTTCCCCCAACTTTCACCTTGATTCTTTTGCTTCTGCTATATACTCAGCTTGTAAAACCCCACATCTCAACTTTTGAAATCATAACTATTCATTAAAACTCAGTTCATTTGTTACTCAGTCTGTGACTCCAGCCAGAAGTGATACCTGTTCTCTTATCATCTATAATTCCTATGTATACCACTTTTACATTACTTTTCATGCTCTTCTTATTTATTTAAAAATACTTTAGTTTCCACTAAATTTTAAATTCCCTGATGGTAGGGACCACATTTTTATTATCTTTGTATTATTTCACAGTACCAATGTAATGCTTTTTCAGTCGTAAGTATGCACTAAATATTTGCTGAACAGGCATTGGATGATACTAAGTAGCAAGGTAGGACCTTTAAAAAAATAATGTTTTTCCTTTTCTTTAGGCTACTTTTAAACTAGAGGCCTAGTGCACAGATTTGTGCACTAGTGGGGTCCCTTGGCCTGGCCTGCGGGGATTGAGCCAAAACCAGCTCTCCGACATCCCCCAAGGGGTCCCGGATTGCAAGAGGGCGGTTCTCGGGTGACACACCCCGGAATCGGGCTCCCTCCTCTCTGGTTTCGAGAGGAGGGAGCCCGAGAACCACAGCTGCCAAGTCACCATAGCTCGGCAGCTCCTGTGTTGAGCGTCTGCCCCCTGGTGGTCAGTGCATGTCATAGTTACTGGGCAGCTGGTCGAACGGTCGGCCGGTCGCTTAGGCTTTTATATATATAGATGTTATTTCATTAACCTCTTCTAACATAAATGTTTTGTCCCATAGGTATGGCATGGATTGCCTTATTCAATTTGAAGATTTTGGCAATGTAAATGCATTTCGTCTCCTGAACAAATATCGAAACCAGTATTGCACATTCAACGATGATATTCAAGGTAATAAAATTTTCACTGCATGTGGACAAGAATAGTATCTGCTAATGGTTGCCAGAGTGGAGGAGGTTGGGGGAAATGGGTGAAAAGAGTGAAAGAGTGTAAGACAGCCGTGGGCAAACTACGGCCTGCGGGCCGGATCCGGCCCATTTGAAATGAATAAAACTAAAAAAAAAAAAAGACCGTACCCTTTTATGTAATGATGTTTACTTTGAATTTATATTAGTTCACACAAACACTCCATCCATGCTTTTGTTCCGGCCCTCCGGTCCAGTTTAAGAACCCATTGTGGCCCTCGAGTCAAAAAGTTTGCCCACCCCTGGTATAAGAGATACAAACTCCCAGTTATAAAAGAAATAAGACATGGTATTATAATCAGTAATATCATAACTTTCTATGGTGACAGATGGTTACTAGGCTTATTGTGGTGACCACATTATAAGGTATATAATGTGGAATCACTATGTTGTACACCTGAAACGAATATAATATTGTATGCCAATAATATGCTATTCTTTTTAAAAAAAGAATATCTACTAAATGCCAGGAATTATGCTTGATGACTTCATATATTATTTCTTATTTACTTTCTTATACTCTATTTAAGAAAAGTATTCTGTGACACTAGATGTACCATATAATCCATGAGCTAGAGAATGAGCTTCCCAAAATCTGATAAAATCCCATGATTACAGCTAACAAGAAAGCAAAATGAAAATATATTGTTCATTGTTTAAAAATAAGACTGCATATACTTTTCTCTTTAGCTATTATCTCAATCATCCACAGTTTCTAAGCTTCATCCCAATATAAGCTGCCTTTATGTATAGTGCATTGATTTTTACTATTTGTTTTTTGATAGAGTATATTTCCTGGGCTACCTGCTTTTGTCTATGTTACCTGTGTTTGTTTGTTTCTTTTCTTTTTAAACCCTGAAAGACAGCCCTAGAAAGAATGCTGAAAGTGATTTGATTAGGCTTGGGGGGGGTGGTTTGATAAATTTTTAAAAAATATTTTTTATTGATTTCAGAGAGGAAGGGAGAGAGAGAGACAGATAAAAACATCAATGATCAACTACCTCCTGCACACCCCCTCTGCTGGGGACCTGGTAAACCCAGGCTCTGCCCAGACCAGGAATCTAGGTCAACACTCAACCACTGAGTTCAACCTCTTAGCCTTTTGGGCTGGGCTGTGATTGTTGTTTTGTGAGCACTTTCACACCTAGCAACATTAGCACTCTTGATGGCCTTTATGTTTCAAAATTATGCTAATTGTCGATTTCTGCCAGCAACAAAAACATTATCTTCTTTGTTGCCTGAGAGACACTTTTTGTCAAGCTGAGGTGTCAGCAAGAAAGGGTTGTCAAGTCAAGTCGAAAGCCTAAGTTTTATTCCCCAACCCAGACCTTTTTACTGTGAACAACTTGGTCGACAACCGAACTGTTTGAAATGGGAGACTGTACTAGTATTTGGAGAAATTCAGAAAGGAAATATAAGCCGTCTAATTTTAATGACTGTAATCCTTGCCTGAAGATATAATGTAAAATGATAAAGTGTCTTTGATGCTACAAACATAAGCTTTGTAGATCAATGTCTCAAAGTCACTTATCAATTCACTTTGCAGTAGTCTCTAAAATAGCCACCAGTTAACTGTTGAACAAACCTATACTGTCCTTTTAAACATATTCTATATCTTTTAACTTGTGGGTCCCACAGAAATGTCCATATAGAAGTTAAAGACCAGTATTACATAATTTTGAATCCTACAGAATTAATAGGCATCAAAGTTCAGTTTAAGAAGAAGAATGCTAAATCCCAATCATCAAACAAAATGAACAGTTAGGAATTGGGGTCAGAATTCCTGTCAACTAAGGTAAAGAATTTAGAGGTCAAGGCCTGGCCTGCATCACAATTAAAGTCAGGAGCCCAGGAAATCTGAGACAGTGCCAAGCCAGGGCCAAGAGCACTGCCTGTGGAGATTCCCTGAGGGGCTGCCTCAGAATATTCTCTGCTGCAGGTCAGCCATGGAGGCATTCCATACTGCTTATTCATCCCCACTAATCTGCCCTAAAATGTAATCTACATCCATTTTGTCTACCTATTGTCACATAGGAGTTTTAGAATATGACTGCCTTAGCCTCAAAATGAATGATTTGAGAAAAATAGATCTAATCTCTGACAAAAGAAAACTTGAGGCCACTTATTAGGTTTCTGACTAGAAATGAACAAACCATTTTTCCATACCAAATAGTGTCCTTAGTGACACATTTCCCACATATGTTTCTATTTTACCTTTTTAACCTTATGTTTTTACCATTTTGCCCACAAATGTAATACTTTCCCCACTGTGGGCATGGGAATTGCCTTCCAGTGCCAACAAAAAGAATTATGTAACTATTACAGCCTCACCATGTAAATAAATGTTTTTACACTGAACCCATGGGGAATTTTTTAAAACAGATGTGTGATTTTAAAGATATTATTTAATGAAAATATTTGATTTTTAAAAATATTTAAAATTCTACTATTTTAGTGATCTAAAATAATCATAAATGATAGAGATTTTGGTTCAAAATGTATTTAGTCCTTAATGCATTCTAATTATAAATTATTTTTAACTGAAAAAAAATGTGCGAGTTAAATATATTAAGCATTTAATGATATAACCTGCAGACCATCAAATTTTTGCAAATTCACCCAAAGAGTTGGTCTTATTCTCTTGTCATTTTAAAATCAGCTATAAAAAGAGATTTTTCTTCTCATAGTAGCCTCTTTGGCTCCTAGTTTGATTGTTATGATTTTTAAAATAAGGTAAATGTTGCCTAATCTTATACTGAATGCATTGATAATTGAAAAGATAAAAGTCAGAAATGGTCAAACAGACATTTCATAAAAGAATGAATATGTTGGCTGGAAAATGCATTTTAAAGTTTAACTACACCACTAAGTTTTAAAAAGTGTATTAAACAGCAAATGAGAAACTGCTTTTCTCTATCAAGCTGACAAAGGTTTTTATCATTCCAACTGTTAATAATGTTTTAAAGAAAATGAGCATTCTCATTCATTGAAGGTGGAAATATAAATTGGTAGAACTCTTGGAGAGGCAACATGTGTCAAAAACCTTGAAAATGTGCAGATCTTTGACCCGATAATTCTATTTTTAGCAACTTATCCTGAGCAAGTAAAAATGCAAAACAAATGTACAAAGATATTTATTTATTTTAAATATTTATTTATTTTTAAAATTGAGATACAATTGACATGGAATATTGAATTGGTTTTAGTTGTACAACATAATGATTTGATATATGTACATACTGCAAAATGATTACCACAATAGGTTTAATTAACATCCATCACTTCACATAGTTACAGATTTTTTTTGTGATGAGAATATTTATTCTCTTAGCAACTTTCAAATATATAATGCAGTATTGTTAACTATAGTCACCATGATGTATATTATACCCCTAGGACTTATTTGTCATATAACTGGAGGTTTGTACCTTTTGATTCCTTTCACCCATTTTGTTCACCCCTCACCCCCAGCCTCTAGCAACCACCAATCTGTTCTCTGTATCCCTGATTTTGGGTTTTTGTTTTAGATTCAACATATAAGTGAGATCATACAGTATTTGTCTTTTTCTGCCTGACTTATTTCAGTTAGCATAATGCTCTCAAGGTTCATCCCTGTTGCCACAATGTAGGATTTCCTTCTTTTTTGTGGCTGAATAATATTCCATTGTCACATATCACATTTTCCTTATCTATTCATCCATAGGTGGACACTTAGGTTGTGTCCATGTCTTGGAAATTGTAAGTAATGCTGCAGTGAACAAGGGGGTGGCAGTTATTTTTTTTGAGATAGTAACTTCATTTTCTTCAGATAAATATCCAGAAGTGGAATTGCTGGATTATATGGTAGTTCTATTGTTAATTTTTCAAGAAACTTTCATACTGTTTTCCATAGTGGCTCCACCAATTTACATTTACACCAACAGTACCCACATCCACGCCACTATTGGTTATCTCTTGCCATTCTTACAGTGTGAGGTGATATCTCATTGTGATTTTTATTCACATTTCCTTGATGATCAGTGATGTTGAGCATGTTCATAAACCTATTGGCCATTAGTATGTTTTCTTTGGAAAAAATGCCTGTTATGTATATTTATTGTAATGTTATTTTCTGTAAGAAATTAGAATCATCTACATATTCAGAAATAGTGGTTTGGTTAAATAAGTTATCATATATCTATACTATGAAATATTATAACTATAAAATATTTTAAAATACATTATTGACATGGTAAGATAGTCATATTTTTAAGTGATGAAAATATGTTAAAATAGTAAGCATGGCATGAGATATTTTTTATCATTAAAAAGTTTTTGAATTTGCATATATTAGCTATAGAAAACAATTATAAGAATATACATCAAAGATTTAAATGAACTTCTCATTTGTCTACATACTACCAGCCTCGAAACTCTCAAATCAATTCCCTCCATGCTCTCTGAATTTAGAATCTTTCAGCAACCATCTGTTACCTATAATAAATCATGACATACAGTCCTATACATATCTATAGCTACTATGATTTTGTAGTAGAAGGCACTGTATGATCTCAACCTGACACTTCACCAGCCTCATATCACTTTACATTCCAATAAGCTGTGTTTGCTTCAGCAACACTGTAATACCTACAGTGTCACATATGTTCTATGTTTCCTCTCCTTTTACATTTTGGGAGGCTCAGTATACAAATGGAGCTCGTATTGTAGGTCTTTACCATAAGGTGACTTGATTGAGCCATTTCCTTAAGGAATCCTTATCAGTCTGGTGTGTGTTTTTTCTCTTAACACTGCTCAGATTCCACCGAAATTATTTTTCCAATTTCTCTTCTGATACTTGCTGGTATTAGCTTTCTGCCAGTGTTCTTTGAGCCACATAGGAGAAGACTGGGGGTCTCCATATTGAGTATGCAAACTTTCATTTAATCTTCTGTTTACAACTATGGCATCATTGCACCCAGTTATTCCTCGTGTCTAACAATTACTCCTGGTGTCGTACAGTCCAGAGACCCTCTCTAGAAAATAAGCTTTTAGTTTTTTCTAAGTCTCCATCGTGTGGGAAGGCCAGTGGTCTGCTAGAAGGAGAGGGAAGTGAATCTGGGGTCTGACTACTTCTTAGATTTTTCACTAGCCTCCTGTTTTTAGTCTCTTTTTCACCCCCACTTCCAGAGGTACTTGGTGCCTCCTTTATCTTTTGAGACTTTTGCCATATCAGTCTGATTGCTTCTTAGAATTCCCCATGACTGGCCAGGAATTCAGCTTTTCAAGTCTGCTATGTCAGTTGCCATTTGCCTATCTGCCTTCCAGCTTCTAAATGTGATTGCTATCCTCTTCTCCTGGTCTCTTTGATTAAAAATAAAAACCTTCTTTCTATTGGTTTAGTAGAGTTTGTTGGGGAGAAGGAAAACTATGTTATATGTTCAGTCTCTCATTTTTCACACGTATCCCTCCTTCCATGCCTTGCTCATGCTCTCCTGTATAGTTTATTCTGCCACCTGAGGTGCTGGACCTCTCTCTCACATTAACCCTTCAGTGCTGTGCTCAGGTGGTATGTTCTCTAAATGCCATGGCCTGTGCCTAAACAAATTCACTCCTCCTCCCCCTGTTCTAATCCTTGTACTTTGCCTGATCTATGTAATAGTACATGAGGATTACAATTATTAGATTACATGTCAGTCTCCTTTAGTGGTTATATATAGTAATTATAATCAGATGATTAAATTATTGTTTCAGTAGAGGTCATACTTTGATAAAAGATAGGGCCGACATTTAATAACCATAGCAAAAGCACAGCATAACTAACTGTGACTTATTTTAATGTTAAAGTCATATTATATAAAAATACAAATGGAAGTTTATAAAATTTTAAGAAGATTGAATCTCTTTAGTAGCTTACTAACAATGTTAAATATTAAGTATTCTTTACAAACAGTGATAGTACAAAGATAAACAGTAGCCTCTCTTTCTCTGATTGACTAAAAGTTTAGTTGTCAATTTCAAAACCAAAGTTATTTTGGAATAATTTATTGTAAGAATTCAAATAATTCTTAAATATCAACGTACCACATTTACTCTTTGATTGCAATGAAATTTAAATCAAGGTTGTACCAGGAGGTCAGACCAACCCATGTATATGAATCATATTCAAGTATCTTTTTGGTAGTGCTAAAAATATCTTTCTGACTTTATTCTTTTAAAAAATATATTTTTATTGATTTTTAGAGAAAGAGGGATAGAGAGATAGAAACATTGATGAGAGAGGAACATCATCATCGATTGGCTGCCTCCTGCATGCCCCCTAATGGGGATCAAGCCCACAACCTGGGCGTGTGCCCTGACTGGGAATCAAACCTCTGACCTCTTGTTCCTGGGTCTGTGCTCAACTGCTGAACCACACCAGCTGGGGTCTGACTTTATTTAATTCTGTGAAGAGAAGTGTTTGATTATGTCCTCAGGAAATATTATAGAATATGCATTTAAGTATAAAGGCTCTGATGATACCCGGTATAGACAGAAACTTATTTTTTCTTTAATTGGGAAATGTGTGAACTTAAAGCATTTTGAATTAAAAATACAGTCTGATCTAGCATAACCATATAAAAATAAGTAGCCACTTTATAGATAGGACCTTTTGGAATATTTTATTGTCTATTCTTAAATGTGCAGTTCTACTTAAAGTCAAAACAATAATATAAATACAGAGATTGCTGATGACACCATAATGTTGATTTCAACTGGTTAAATCTTGTGGTGCTGGTAGAATCTGTAGAAACCCTTAAAATTATAAAATATCAGAGTTAGAAGGGAATGTAGAGTCCCTCAAATCCAAATTTCTGGTTAATTTACTTCCAAAGAGCCTGAAATAGGAATAGCTTGAGGTACTATTCGTGAATACGTACTTATCTAGTGACTAGATATACTTCTCTAACTAAAATTATTTTTTTCATGGATTTAACAGTTGTGGTGAATATATGTAGATGTATGAGACAAATACCATCCTAATACTGTCATGGTATTTTTCATACATAGATCAGCTGTATATTTAAACAGCCTTTCATTTTAAATAATCTGTAGAAAAGTGGCCTTTGCATAAAGTATGACTTGCCACAGATCATAATTTATTCCATTGGTGATTCCAAATTGCAAGCATTTTATTTTTGTGATCCACATTATGTTCCAAAATAAAAAACATACAAGAGAGGGTCTTCAATAATTATTATTTATTGTGATCCTATTTATGACCACAAAATTCTGTAGGAAAGAAACAACCAAAAGATTTAAAAGAACAAATATACTGGTGGTGAAATGTTTAATGTGTTTTGGTACTTGGCATACGTAACACTTCATAATTGTCATTCGTCAGACCTATTCTAATCTGTTATTGTTTGTTTTTAACCAATGAATGTGTTTACAGTTTAACTAGGCTTTATCTAGAATCATTACTTTAGAGGAGTGAATTGTAGACACAGCTGGAACATACTGCAAGAAGCTGCACAGATTTATTTCAGACATGAGCCATAAAGAGGTTGAGCTATGTAATTATGCTCAAAGCAAAAGAACTGCTCTATGATCTGTGAAAGCTTATATGGCAAATAAAATTAGAACTGGTGAAGTTTCTATGACCATGCAGAAAACTCAGTTTTAATTCTAAATAAATTTTACATTAATTTTGTCTACCACCTTTGGGATTCACCAGTGATTATAGGTAGGAAGCCAATTAGAGAATGCTGCAACATCTGATTTTAAAATTGATTAAAAATATTTTTATTAATTTCATAGAGGAAGGGAGAGGGAGAGAGAGATAGAAACATCAGTGATGAGAGAGAATCATATATCGGCTGCCTCCTGCACACCCACTACTGGGGATCGAGCCCACAACCTGGGCATGTGCCCTTGTCCAGAATCAAACCAGGGACCCTTCAGTCCACAGGCCAGCGCTCTATCCACTGAGCCAAACCAGCTAGGGCTAAAATTGATATTAACTGTTAATTTTTCAAATTGAAAATTAAAACATTAAATTTCAAATGTATCATAAACATCATTACCAACACCATTATCAATAAGCGCTTACTATATGCCCACTCTGGGTAGAGGGGATCAGTAATAGATTTTAGAGCCCTAAGAGTAATTAGGTAGAAGAATCTAATAACACTTAGTACTCTTTTATCTCATATAGTAAAACAGATAAGGAAACAGATGTACAAAATAATTTTTCTAAAGTAATTCAGCTAGTAAACAGGTTGATTTGGAATGCACATAAGAATCCAAATCCCACGCTCTTATTTATTGCATCACCAAATTAAGTCACAGAATCTTCTTTTCAGAGTTTAACGAATATATTAAAATATTGATGTCAATTGCCTGAGACTTTCACCTCATATGCAAGGATGGAATCCGACAACCACAGGTTCCCTCTTTGTACCATTTAAACTGTTGTATAATGATTTCAAGATGTGAATAAAGATTGGAGGCTTAGACATTGGCAGGATCTGTTTGAGGATTGATTACTCAAGGACATTTGTTACTTCTTTTAGGAACAGCATCTGTTGCAGTCGCAGGTATCCTTGCAGCTCTTCGAATAACCAAGAACAAACTGTCTGATCAAACAATACTATTCCAAGGAGCTGGAGAGGTACCTGCCTTATAGAATACTTACGTTCTCCTAAACTAATGAACATAGAATTCATTTTAAATATTCATTAACTTGAAATTTGAGGTATTCTTTCAAATTTCTAGTATATTGTGAATATAGGTTTTATTGAAAGAGTCACAATTTTACATTCATTTTGAGGCCTATTAGTTTTTCATAGGAGGCTTTAGCGGTATAGAGATATTTTTCACAGTTTTACAGTGATAAGTTTATCAGATGTTGCCATAGGTTTTTATAATGCATATTTAAGGTGCCATGCAATAACAAAAGTTTCAAATGTATGCTTATATAGAAAAGCCTTTAAGAAATAGTTAAGGTATGCTACCTGATGTTAACTTTTATATCCTCCAGTGTCATAAAAGTTTTCTTAATTTAACTCACAACTCAATGTTTACACATATAACTATATCCAAGTTTTTAAGAAAAAGGTATTTGAGAGACTCATTGTTCATTACAACTGTTCTCACAAAAAAGAACCAAAATATCTTATACTTTTGGAAGGAGATAGCAGCAAGACAGAATTATGCTGTTTTCTGTTATCTTTTTCTATAAATTTGTCTATTGAAAGAAAACTAGACACTTAGCAATAATAATTCACCCGCAGAATAGAAATTAAAATGTTAGTTGAGTTGAGCTTCTTGTGAGAAAACTGCCAAAATCTGTTCAGAATTATAGAATGTAATAAACAGAAAAATGCTTTGTGGCTGTACCATATATATTTTAAGAAGCTTTAAATTTACAAATTTAATAAGATTATGACTAAATACATTACACTCATAGAAATTTTGTATATTATGTTGGTTTTGATTTTACTTGTTCTCAAAACAAAATATACAAATCTAGAACTTAGATGCCAAGATATAGATGTGAAATATTCAGAATGTAAATCACAAATTTGTTTTCACATTGAAATAAAAATCAAGGCAAATAAGAGTTCATTAACATTGAGTTTTTTATTTCCGTGGATTGTACCATGCTATACTTCATTTTAGTAAACTTCTTTTGAATTTCCAAAGGATTTTGTTGAGTGGCACAGGCCAGCTTTTGACACTCAGTAGGACAGAAGTATTAATGGCTGGATGACTCAAAACTGTCACTCAGTTGTCCCTGATAAGGTTTTGGAAATTTCACAGATTATGACAGTTTATCAAATACCAAAGAAGTTCATTCCTTTAATCTTGCAAGAAAATTCACAGTGCTTTTTTGGTCCAAATTAAGAGGGTAAATAAATGCTTGGGAACACAGATTTTCTGTGTTTCATTTTATTGCCTAATTGGTTAAGTTTCCATCCAAATGACCTGGCTTCCTTCTTCAAATTCAGTTAGAGGAGCTTGAACCCAATAATAAACAATACACAGTCCAATAAGCAAGGCTGACTAGTTCGTTATTTTAAATTCAATATTTTCTTATTGGCTCGAATCTTAATTGTATTAACATGATTAAGGTTACTGACAATCAAGGATAGTACTGGTTTATTTGTGGCTAAATAGGAAGCTACATAATAGTGGTTCTGTTGTGATAAGAATGAATAATTGTCATTCATTTTAACCCAAATGTGACAAAAATACTTTGCTCCCAGTACAAATGAATAGCTCTTTAGGCCAACAGACAGGGCCATTTTGTACTTCCTTATTAACAAGAACAAAATGCAGTGAAATGTAACCTGATAAGATATAATGTGGAACAACTTAAAAATTTTTTGTTTTTATAACCTTTTCTCAGGCTGCCTTAGGGATTGCAAACCTGATTGTAATGGCCATGGAGAAAGAAGGTTTACCAAAGGAGAAAGCCATAAAAAAGATATGGATGGTTGACTCTAAAGGATTGATAGTTAAGGTAAGAATTTGTCATTTTAACCAGAAGAAAAATCTATCTGCCATTCTGGATGCCCATCCCAAAGACTACTACTATTTTCATTTATGCCACCCCCAACACTGTGTTAAAAGTGTAGCCCTTACATATGAATGACCATGTCGTACAGCAATACTGATACTCTTCTGAATAAAGAAGAAAAATACGGCTCAGCTAGAGAATCTGTCTGGGAGGTGATGTGCATAGGCTCTACAGGTCAGTCCACTTGAATAAGGTAAGTTTCTAGGTGAGGCAATTTGATACTGATACAGATAAAACTCCTAGGTGTAACTCCTTTTATTAAAGGCTACCTGTCTAATTGCATACTAGATAGAAAGAAAGGAGGAAAAAATAAATAAATAGCTACTCTTTTACCTGCTGCTTTCTCTCAACCAAATTCTTAGTGTTTGAATGGGAATTCCTGTGGAGGGCTTTAATAAACGGCCTGTTTTAAAGTTAACTTACTTGAGGTTCAGTTCCCCTAGCTTTAATAGAGATAATAGTTCCACTTCAGAGGGTCATGGTAGAAGTAAGTAAGACTAGGTAAGTAACCATGTTGCTGCAAAGTTGTAAGACATCATTCATTATTACTTCTACCATTTGGGCACATCAATCATACTTTCTTAAACTATTGGAAAAAATAATGTAAATCCCCTTTCCACATGAAGATGAATTTTAAAAATAAACATAAGCATTGTATTTGGTAATATAATATATAAGCAAATGTGAATGTGTACAAACTTTCTGGAAAACTGTTTTATATGTATCATGAGCTTTTAAAAGTTCATGCTTCTGATCTAATAATTTCCATTCTTTTTCTAAATATGTTTTTAGAGGAAGGGAGAGGGAGAGAGGGATAGTAACATCAATGATCAGAGAGAATCATTGATTGGCTGCCTCCTGCACGCCCCCCACTGGGGATTGAGCCCGTAACCCAGGCATATGCCCTAACTATGACCTCCTGTTCATGGGTGGATGCTCAACTACTGAGTAACACTGGCCGGGCCAATAATTTCCATTCTAAGACTCTATCCCATAGGGTTAGAGATGTGTATAATGTTTTCTATGAAGATATTATCACAACATTATTTACTAGAGGCCCAATGCACAAAATTTGTGCACTCGGAGGGGGGTGTCCCTCAGCCCGGACTGCACCCTCTCGCAGTCCCAGGACCACAAGGGATGACCCTATGGGGAGTGGGCCTAAGCCATCAGTCGGATATCCTTAGTGCTGCCGCGGAGGCGGGAGAGGCTCCCACCACTGCTGCTGCACGAGCCAGCCATGAGCCTGGCTTCTAGCTGAGCAGCGCTCCCCCTGTGGGAGCACACTGACCACCAGGGGACAGCTCCTGCATTGAGCATCTGCCCCCTGGTAGTCAGTGCATGTCATAGAGACTGGTCGTTCTGCTGTTTGGTCGATTTGCATATTAGCCTTTTATTTATAGGATAATAGTGATACATTTCATCATACATTAATTATAATAATGATCTGTTATACTTAAATAAAGAATAATTTGCAATAAATTTTGGAATAGTCACATGAATATAACATACAAGCTTAAAATGGTTCTCAAAGACTTATAAATGACATTAAAGGATTTATAATATAACATTAGGTGAAAAAAGGAAAACACCATCTTATATATAACTATTTTGTTTAAAAATTGAGTTACATATAAAAGTCATAAAAGGAAATACATCAAATACATATTACTTTAAAACTAACATTATTTTTATTTCTGTATATTCTATATATTATGTCTTTTTGTATATTCTAAATTCTACTTAGTAATTGTATTCCTTTAAAGTTAGAAAAGTTAGAGAGCAGGTTGACAGCTATCTGGGCTGGAGGCTGGGTGGATGGAGTGGAGGGATTGAGCAAAAAAGGAAAAAAAGAGAAAAAACTCAAGGACACAGTACTATGGTGATTTCAGGGTTGGGGTGGAGGAGGTAAAGGGGGTGTAAATGGTGAGGGATGGAGACTTGACTTGGGTGGTGAACACACAATAGAGTGAACAGATGTGTTGTATAATTATGCACTTGAAACCTGTATAATTTTGTTAACCAGTATCAACACAATAAGTTCAATAAAAGGGGGGAGGGATAAAGCTAGAAAAAAGTTTGTTTTTAAAAATCAGTATAGACAGACAAATTTTACCTCAGAAGAGAAAGTATATGCATAACATTTTAAGAAAATGTTATTCTTTAAGGTATTACAAATAGCAGTACATATGTCTCTTTTATGAGAATCTATAAAGCAATGAAACAAGATAGAAATCACTTTGACAGCATCTTCTGAGAACCAAATAATAATCATTTTATTAATTTTCTAAAATTGCAAATTAATTATTTAAAATAAAAATTTATAACAAAATTTTCAATTTCTTGGCTTAACCATTGCTGTTCTTTGAATAATTAGTATAACTATAAAAAATTGTACACTGTGGTCGAATGAAAAATACTGTAGTCATGAAAGAATATTTACTGAATGAAATCGCCTATGGATCAGGCATTATATTAGCCTTGGGGGACACAAGAAGGCCCTGCATCTCAGGAGGCCCACAGCCTAGTAGGGAAAACTCAAACGAGTCAGGAGTTACAATTCTACATGGAAATGTTATAGAAATACGTCCTTGATGTCAGAGATGCACATAGATGTCACTTCCAGCTCCACTAAAGAGCTTAGTAGGAATACTGAGGAAAATTCCGAGACAAGATGTCTCTTCATCTAACTTTGAAAGGAAGAATTAGGAGTTTACCTGGAGTTTCCATAGACATCTTAAACTTCTTCTATCCAAAACTGAGGCAAAAGAAGTAGAAGGGCAAGTTCACTTTCAGATCTTGATTGAAAATAGGGATCATGTCTTTCATCTCTTTATATCTTCAAAGCCCTACAGAGTGTCTATAATTGATAATAAATATTTTGTTAATAAATGAATTAATTAATGAATGGCCTTCCAGGCAGAAGGGCAGCATTTTCAAGCGACTGAAGAAACGTATGCAGAGGAGATTTGCCTCTGGTCACTCTGATGGCATTGTGGAGGGTGGATTGAAATGAGGTGAAAATGAGGGAAGGAAACACATTATAAAGCTGTTGCAATAATACTGATAAAAATTAGTTGGGTCTGAAATAAAGCAGTGACTCTGGGGGTGAGTGAAAAAGTTTGATGCAGTAGAATTTAAGAAATAGGCCCATGACCTGTGTGGCTCAGTTGGTTGAGCATTGTCTCATGCAGTAGAAGACCGCTGATTGATTCCTTCCTCTCTCTCTAAAATCAATTTTTTTAAAAAAAGAAATAGCATTATTAGCATATATAGGAACTGATTAAATATGGAAGGAGGAGTAGGATAGAATAGAGGAAGGAATCTAGCATGATTCCTTGGTAAGTGATGCAGCCATATGTAGAAAAGGAATAAAGAATGGACCAGCTTAAGGGAAAGAGAATGAGATCTGTTTTGGACATAGCAAGTTTAAGGTGCCTGTGAAGGCATTAGATAGAGATGTCCCCTTGGCAATCAGAGATAAAAGAATAAGGCTCAGGTTGAGGGTCTGGGCTCCTGGAGATGGAGATTTGGGGATCATCTGCATGTAAATAGTTGGAGCCATGGAAAAAGCTATACAAGTTATGCTGTGCTTAAGGATGTAATACATTCAAGAATCCAAACAAAAGTGAAAGTCTATAATTGTGGTTTTGTGATTTCTACTGACTTTTTTTATATGTGAAATCTTCATAAGATATATAGATTTTAGCATCTCAAATAATTTTAACATAGACTTACTGAACTGAGAGTTCAAATTCCATGGATTATAATATTTGGAATAACTGTGAAGTTGTTGCTAGACATAATCAGTCACTCTTACTTCATGCTTTCGCTTGCCAAAATAAAGAACTGCATATATTCCGCTTGCCAAGGTAAATAAAGTTACATTTAAAAGGCTGTTATATATTTAATAGCTTGTGCAGTATTTCATATAAAAGAAATAAAAGAAGCTTCAGTTAACTGCTTTTTCTTTTGTGTTTTTAAAAATCAAAATTATGTTAGTTTTTTGTGTGGAACTAATAAATCTTAGAATAACTAGTAAATCAGTATAATTTTTTTTTCAAACCTACATGATTTTTTTGTGTTTGTTATCCTTTATCCTTAATATTTTTACAACCTCTCCTGAGAACCAATAATAATCGTTTTACTAATTTTATTAACTTGCAGTGTAATTGTTTGTACTTTATAAAAATATCATAAAGTTTTAAATAAAAATGTTTATTAGTCAAACTCCTTAACTCTTTTTTTTAAAAATATATTTTATTGATTTTTCACAGAGAGGAAGAGAGAGGGATAGAGAGTTAGAAACATCGATCAGCAGCCTCTTGCACACCTCCTACTGGGGATGTGCCCGCAACCAAGGTACATGCCCTTGGCCGGAATCGAACCTGGAACCTTTCAGTCCACAGGCCAATGCTCTATCCACTGAGCCAAACCGGTCAGGGCTCCTTAACTCTTTAAAGACATAAAACCAAAACTAGTAAACTATAAGGTTAGCTCATTTATGGAGTTATAGCATCATCAGACTAGATAAGTATTATCCTGACATGTTTTCTCTTTTCATTTTCAACATCATATCTATAGCATTGTCTATCATTTACCTCCTATCCACATGTACAGTGGAATGAGTTTATGCTATAAATATCAATATTTTAAATAATTCATCAATATCAATAAAGTTGATTGAAATGGATTATATGGTCACTGATAATATTTAAATACATTAGGATAGTATTTCAAAGCAAGAAATATTGACATATCTATTTAGCCAGGTAATATTAATGGACTTTAATATAAAGAAGCTGAGAGTTGGTTTAAAAGAAATCCTTCCCAAATAAAAATTAGAGAGAGAATAAATACAGTGACGGAATGAAAAGGGAGTATGCCAGCATGACTGATACTTGCATTTCACAATGATAATCTGGGGCACTTTCAGAGGGGAC